TTTCATTTTCTAAGTTTAGTCATGAATTAGATATTACAATATAAAATTTACTAGTTTATAAAAAAAAGTTGAAATAAATAAAAATTTTAAGGCCTTTCCCCCCTTTTCCCTCAGTCTCAGGAGTTAGAGATGGTCTAGATAAGTGTTCCTGAGAGCCCTGGTCTCAAGGCACAGGGAAAGGAAATCAAGTTCTAACAAAATGGCGGCAGGTCTAAACCAAATGGTGGCCACACAAAGCAAAATGGCCATCAAAAATCACAACACAGAACACAGAGTTAAAACACACACATATAAACCTGGCAGTCCTCATCAGACACTCCCTTAAATACAAGAATTCAGTCTCTCAGAAAACCTTCTATAGAGACACAGAACTTCAGATCCAAGTACTAACAGAGTAAAGGAAAATATCTCAGGTCTTCAAAGATTTCAAAGGGAGGAAAGGAAGCCAGGTTGAAAGAAGGGAGAGGAGGTGGGAGAGGGGACAAAAGGCGTGGCCTTACAGACGTCTCCTGCCCCCTGCAGATACTCAGGCGTTACGGGACTTTACCCTGGGCCTCCAGAGAAGAGAGGACTGGAACTCAGCCCTACCAGAAACCAGACCAGACTGTTGCAGAAAGGGGGACCTCTTCCAGGGCCTGAAACTGGGCTCTTGTCTAACATCCAGAAATGAATTGTCCGAGGAGACACATGTGCTGACAGAGCAAGAGATTTTATTGGGAAAGGGCACCGGTGGAGAGCAGGAGGGTGAGGGAACCCAGGAGAACTGCTCTGCCACGTGGCTCGCAGTCTCGGGTTTTATGGTGATGGGATTAGTTTCCGGGTGGTCTTTGGCCAATCATTCTAATTCAGAGTCTTTCCTGGTGGTGCACACATCGCTCAACTAAGATGGATGCTAGCGAGAAGGACTCTGGGAAGTGGACGGACACACGGTGTCTCCTTTCGACCTTTCCCGAACTCTTCCAGTTGGTGGCGGCTTATTAGTTCCGTATTCCTTACCAGGATCTCCTGTCCTAAAACAACTCATGCGAATGGTTACTAAAGGGCCTGACCAGGGCGGGCAGTTTCAGTCAGTGTGCTTCCCCTAACAAGACCAGAACCAGAATTCGAGTTCTCTGCCAAGAGGACGTGATCAGTCTCCAATCCTCAGCTCAGGCTGAGGCCCTTGGACCAGATTCCTGCATCCAGGACTGGAGGACTAGAAAAAAGGGGAAGGATAAGAAGGGTTAAGGAGAGGAAAGAGAGAGGGAAGGTGAGAGAGGTCAATAAAGTCTCTTGTTCCTTACCGGTGGGGGCACTCTGGCCAGTTATCCACATCAGGAGACCAGGGACAAAAGGGTCCCAGGTACGGCCACTGGGTCTGGTCCATTGGCAGGCAAGCTGGCCCCTGAGTACCCCGAGTGGTCAGGATGTCAGTCTCAGCAAAGAACAGTCTCACCAGAGTCGCCATTTGTTGCAGGAAAGGGGACGCATTCCAGGGTCCAAAACTGGGCTCTTGTCGAACACTCGGAAATGAATTGTCCGAGGAGACACATGTGCTGACAAAGCAAGAGATTTTATTGGGAAAGGGCACCCGGTGGAGAGCAGGAGGGTGAGGGAAGCCAGGAGAACTGCTCTGCCACGTGGCTCGCAGTCTCAGGTTTTATGGTGATGGGATTAGTTACCAGGTGGCCTTTGGCCAATCATTCTAATTCAGAATCTTTCACGGTGGCGCACGCATCGCTCAGCCAAGATGGATGCTAGCGAGAGGGATTCTGGGAAGTGGACGGACACGCGGTGTCTCCTTTCGACCTTTCCTGAACTCTTCCAATTGGTGGTGGCTTATTAGTTCCATATTCCTTCCCAGGGCCTCCTGTCATAAAACAACTCATGGAAATGGTTATGAAGGTGCCTGGCCACGGTGGGCAGTTTCAATCAGTGTGCTTCCCCTAACAAAACTGCAGCGGCCCAATTCTCCCTGATCAATTGAAACCTAGTCTGATCACCGCTCCCAGGGTTCTCCAGTCTGCCTCATCCCAACCTCCCCTTCCATGTGGCTGCAGCACCCACTTCCTTTTCTGCTGCCCCCACCAGGGCCAGGCTTGCCCCTCCCAGACTCCTGACATCACTCAGTGAGTCTAAAAACGTCCCCATGCAGCTGAGACTGGGAGCCAGTTCAGCTGAGCCAAGTTGAGTGGAGACTGGGGGTAGTAGGGGAGCAGGCAGAGACTGCGGGTACCTGCTGTATGCCTCAGACAGGGGACTCAGACTCTAATTGGCTCACTGCAGGAATGCTGGCAGCAAATGGCTGAGTCAGAGCCTACCAAAGGAACCAGCCTGCACAGGGCACCCCAGGGCTACAGGGGATGGCAGTCAGGCCTCTTAAAAACGGGGCCAGTCACAAAGACAGAAATATAGATCAATGGAACAGAATAGAAAGCCCAGAGATAAATCCACGAACCTATGGTCACCTTATCTTTGACAAAGGAGGCAAGGATATACAATGGAAAAAAGACAACCTCTTTAACAAGTGGTGCTGGGAAAACTGGTCAACCACCTGTAAAAGAATGAAACTAGAACACTTTCTAACACCATACACAAAAATAAACTCAAGATGGATTAAAGATCTAAATGTAAGACCAGAAACTATAAAACTCCTAGAGGAGAACATAGGCAAAACACTCTCCGACATAAATCACAGCAGGATCCTCTATGACCCACATCCCAGAATTTTAGAAATAAAAGCAAAAATAAACAAATGGGACCTAATGAAACTTAAAAGCTTTTGCACAACAAAGGAAACTATAAGCAAGGTGAAAAGACAGCCCTCAGATTGGGAGAAAATAATAGCAAACGAAGCAACAGACAAAGGATTAATCTCAAAAATATACAAGCAACTCCTCCAGCTCAACTCCAGAAAAATAAATGACCCAATCAAAAAATGGGCCAAAGAACTGAACAGACATTTCTCCAAGGAAGACATACAGATGGCTAACAAACACATGAAAAGATGCTCAACATCACTCATTATCAGAGAAATGCAAATCAAAACCACAATGAGGTACCATTACACACCAGTCAGGATGGCTGCTATCCAAAAGTCTACAAGCAATAAATGCTGGAGAGGGTGTGGAGAAAAGGGAACCCTCTTACACTGTTGGTGGGAATGCAAACTAGTACAGCCACTATGGAAAACAGTGTGGAGATTCCTTAAAAAGCTGGAAATAGAACTGCCATATGACCCAGCAATACCACTTCTGGGCATACACACTGAGGAAACCAGATCTGAAAGAGACACGTGCACCCCAATGTTCATCGCAGCACTGTTTATAATAGCCAGGACATGGAAGCAACCTAGATGCCCATCAGCAGATGAATGGATGAGGAAGCTGTGGTACATATACACCATGGAATATTACTCAGCCATTAAAAAGAATTCATTTGAATCAGTTCTAATGAGATGGATGAAACTGGAGCCCATTATACAGAGCGAAGTAAGCCAGAAAGATAAAGACCATTACAGTATACTAACACATATATATGGAATTTAGAAAGATGGTAACGATAACTCTATGTGCAAAACAGAAAAAGAGACTCCTATGTATAGAACAGACTTGTGGACTCTGGGAGAAGGCGAGGGTGGGATGTTTCAAGAGAACAGCATTGAAACACGTATATTATCTAGGGTGAAACAGTTCACCAGCCCAGGTTGGGTGCATGAGACAAGTGCTCGGGCCTGGTGCACTGGGAAGACCCAGAGGGATTGGGTGGAGAGGGAGGTGGGAGGGGGGACCGGGATGGGGAATACATGTAAAAAAAAAAAAAAAACGATACACTATGGTTGTGATAAAAAAAATAAATAAATTAATTAATTAATTAAAAAAAAAAAAAAACGGGGCCAGTGGTCAAGATTCCTAACAACAGGAATTGCCATCTACTAAGCCTACACTCTTCTTATGGACCATCTGGCCCTCTGAACACCCTCCGTGGGGGTGGCAGCAAACCATGGTCAGGGTCATGTGCAAGGTCAGGACTCAGGCTGAGAATCTCCAGCTTTCAGAGACCACTGAGTTCATCCATGGTGAGAGTGGAGACACGTATCTTGGTTCTTGGGGCACAAAGATCCACCTGTCACCCTTTTCCGTTGGCTTCAGACCCAAGAATTCTGCTGGAGCAGCGGCCCAGTCGGCTCCTCTCCCAGCTGGGAGGGCAAGCAAAGGGCCCCATCAGACAACAACTCCCTGTCTGCCGGCTTCCTGTGGCCCCTGCGTCTCCTTCTCACTTCAGCTGACACCAACAACTTGTTCTCCCTCTGATGGTGGGCTAGGTAGGGGGAGAGCAGGACCAAAAGCACCCAAAGTGTGCAGTTACCCTCAGGGTCCTGATCCCCACCTCCCTTCTCCCCCTCCCAACGCCCCCTGAAACAACCACCACTGTAGTCTGGGCACTCTCTCACTAAAAGACTCTCGATGACTCCCCAGGGCCCAGGCCTCTCTCCTAAGGTGCATTCCCTCTCTCCAAAGCTCTGCTTCCACACAGACCAGAAAACTCACAGCAAGGATCAGAATTCCTCACTCAGGTGTCCTACTGTTTCTCCTCAGCACCACGGGCTTATGGGTTACCGCAGGTACCAACACTTCTCTATTCTCTCAGTTTCCAGACTTTTTTCCTTCTGCCTTTTTCCAGCTACACCCCCCCAACCACCACCAAAGAAAACCAGGTGGTGGCCCCCACCTCACACTCCCCCATTCTCAGCCCTCTGGCTTCCCCCAGAGCCATGTCCCACTCCCAGTTGTCAAGACCATCACCCGAGAGGTGCCAACTTGGCCTTCAGCCCCTGGCCACAGACAACCCTGATGAATCAGAAAACCCTAATAAGTAACGAGCACCCTGCGCTCTGGACGGCCCGGTGATGTGGGCAGTGATCCTTGGCTCCTAAAAGTTACTGTGAAATAAAAGATAACGGACAATTTTCGCAACATCACTTTCCCGTTGTTGCAATTAGTGAAAGCCCAGGATTCAGTTCAGGGTCCAGGCAGAGGCCCCCCGGTCTGGCGGTTTCCGTCCGCTATCAGCCCCGGGCGCGCCCCCTCCCAGAGTTGGGTGCTCTTGGGTTCAAAGAGTGAGTCCAGCACTTCCCCGCGGGGAGTCCAACCAGATGTAGGGCCCCCGGGAACGTCGCTGGGGCCCGGGGAAAGCGCTCGGGCCCCGCCGCGCCCACCTGCTGCGCGCGGCCGGAGAGCAGGGTCGGCACTGTCACTGGGATGGACCCGGAACCCGCGGAGAAACCGAAACTTGGCGCCCGGATTAGGAGGGGGCCGGCCCGGACGGCGGCCGGACGCGACGCAGAGGGACGCAAGCGCCGCTCCCCGGCAGTGCCTCGGGCCCGGCCGCCGCGACCCAGGACCAGACTCGGCGGGACCCCTGATCCGTGGGACCCTCTCGCACCTAGAGTAATGGCACTCTGACAGCTGACGAGCTGGACAGCTTGTAACCGGGGTAACTTGAGCCCTGCACTCACGGGACCCGGCATCCCTCCCTGTAACCTGCATTTCGCCCCTCAAGACCTGCGGCCAAGGTGCCCGCGGCCGGCCCTGCAACTGTGCACCCCAGCCCGGCGCGCCAGCTCTCACCTCGGCGGCTCCCGAGCCCACGCTGCCTCCTGTAGGCAAGGTTTCGTTTCTCTAGTCCTGGGTCCGGCCCTCCCGCTTCGGCAGGCTCTGCCGAGCTCACGTGGGTGTGGTCAGAATTCCCGGTCGAGTGGCGCCCTCCAGTGGACCCGGAGCCAGGCCCTGTTCAGTTCTGTTCAGTTCAGTTCAGTCGCTCAGTGGTGTCCGACTCTTTGCGACCCCACAAACCTCAGCACGCCAGGCCTCCCTGTCCATCACCAACTCCCCGGAGTCCACCCAAACCCATGTCCACTGAGTCGGTGATGCCATCCAACCATCTAATCCTCTGTCGTCCCCATCTCCTCCTGTCTTCAATCTTTCCCAGCATCAGAGTCTTTTCAAATGAGTCAGCTCTTCGCATCAGGTGGCCAAAGTATTGGAGTTTCAGCTTCAGCATCAGTCCTTCCAATGAATATTCAGGACTGATTTCCTTTAGGATGGACTGGTGGGATCTCCTTGCAGTCCAAGGGACTTCCAAGAGTCTTCTCCAACACACAGTTCAAAAGCATCAATTCTTTGGCACTCAGCTTTCTTTATAGTCCAACTCTCACGTCCATGCATGACTACTGGAAAAACCATAGCTTTGACTGGACAGACCATTACTGGCAAAGTAATGTATCTGCTTTTTAATATGCTGTCTAGGTTGGTCATAACTTTTCTTCCAAGGAGCAAGTGTCATTTAATTTCATGGCTGCAGTCACCATCTGCAGTGATTTTGGAGCCCCCCAAAAATAAAGTCTGTCATGGTTTCCACTGTGTCCCCATCTATTTGCCATGAAGTGATGGGACCAAATGCCATGATCTTAGTTATCTGAATGTTGAGTTTTAAGCCAACTTTTTCACTCTCCTCTTTCACTTTCATCAAGAGGCTCTTTAGTTCTTCTTCACTTTCTGCCATAAGGGTGGTATCATCTGTATATCTGAGGTTACTGATATTTCTCTCAGCAATCTTAATTCCAGTTTGTACTTCATCCAGCCCAGCATTTCATAATATACTCTGCATAGAAGTTAAATAAGCAGGGTGACAATCTACAGCCTTGGCGTACTCCTTTTCCCATTTGGAACCAGTCTGTTGTTCCATGTCCAGTGCTAACTGTTGCTTCCTGACCTGCATACAGGTTTCTCAAGAGGCAGGTCAGTTGGTCTCGTATTCCCATCTCTTTCAGAATTTTCCAGAGGTTGTTGTGGTCCACACAGTCAAAGGCTTTGGCATAGTCAATAAAGCAGAAATAGATGTTTTTCTGGAACTCTCTTGCTTTTTCGATGATATCCAGCGGATGTTGGCAATTTGATCTCTGGTTCCTCTGCCGTTTCTAAAACCAGCTTGATCATCTGGAAGTTCACATTCACATACTGTTGAAGCCTGGCTTGGAATCTCACATAACGTGGCCTTTTCATGGTGATCTTCTTTCATTGAGCATCACGTTTCAAGTCCCATCCATGAGGTAGTGTGTGTTGGGACTTCATTGTTGTTTATGACTGAATAAATATGTGAGAGTTGGACTATAAATATAAAGAAAGCTGAGCGCCAAAGAATTGATGCTTTTGAACTGTGGTATTGGAGAAGATTCTTGAGAGTCCCTTGGACTGCAAGGCGATCCAACCAGTCTATCCTAAAGGAAATTAGTCCTGAATATTCACTGAAAGGACTGATGTTGGAGCTGAAACTCCAATATTTTGACCACCTGGTGTAAGAATTGACTCATTTGAAAGGGCCCTAATGCTGGGAAAGATTGAAGGCAGGAGGAAAAGGGGATGACAGAGGATGAGATGGTTGGATGGCATCACCGACTCAATGGACATGAGCTTGGGTAAACTCTAGAAGTTGGTGATGGACAGGGAGGCCTGGCATGCTGCGGTTCATGGGGTCACAAAGAATTGAACACAACTGAGCGACTGAACTGAGCTGAATAGAGACACAAGAGAATGGACTTGTGAACACAGGGAGGTAAGGAGAGGGTGGGGTGAATTGAGACAATAGCATTGAAAATATATACGTTACTATGTGTAAAATAGATAGCTATACAACACGGGGAGCTCAGCCTGGCACTCTGTGAGGACAGAGATGGGTAAGATGGGGGCGAGGGCTGGGAGGGAGGCTCGAGAGGGAGGGGATATAGCTGATTCACATTGCTGTGAGGCAGAAACCAACACAGCATTGTAAAGCATTTGTCCTCTAATCAAAATTAAAAAAAAATTTTTAATCAAAAAAGGGAGCCCAGGGTTCCCACACATCTTCTCCTTTCCCACACTCAGCAGACACACTCTCCTTCCTCTGGGCTGAGAACAGCAAGCTCTGTCTTTTCTGGGGTTCCCCTCCTGCAGTGCCTGCCTCCTGCAAGGTTGACTTCTCCCATCCATTGAACCCCAGCATCTTTGTCTGAGCTTAGGCAGTGCTTAAGGATTTGGGGGAGGCCAGCAGAGCTTGGTTGGGCCTGTCAGTGTGGGGACCGGTGAACCCTGCCAGTGCCCATAACAGAGCCCTAGGCCAGCCCCGAGGTGATCCAGGGCGTTTCTAAGGGACCAACAGAGTGGGCGCCACTGTCTGGATAGCGCACAGGTGAGGGCAGAGGGAACACATCACGTGGCCTGAGAAGACACATTTACCTGCCAGATGCAGCATCTTTAGTTTTAAAACCCAACTCAGGGACCTCTCTGGCGGTCCGGTGGTTAAGATCTCATGCTTCCACTGCAGGGGTCAGGGGTTCAATTCCTGGTCAGAGATCTAAGATCCTTACACAACATGTAGAGTGGCCAAAAATATGAGAGAATAAAACCCAACACAGTCTTAAGGAATTTGAATTCTTCCAGTAAGAGACCAAGCCCTACAAAGGAGGTGTCTTTAGGCCATTTGAAAGCCCTCAGAGTCATCTTCCCTCCACCCTCTTCTCCATGTCTCGTCCATTCCTTACAGGACTCATGAAACAGTAAAGGGATTTTTAAAAATCCAGCCTTGGAGAAATGGGAATGGGCTGGTCCACTGTTCTGCCTTCAGTTTAGTTTGTGGTTCAAGATGAATGTGGGACAAGCCAGCTGGAGTGTCAGGTCACCTCCTCTAACGAGTCTTCCTTCAGCCTGGACAGTCCAGTGTTAGCCTAGCTGCTCAGGGCGCTCCCAGGCATGGAGTTCAGAGTGACATCAGAACACTAATCTCTCCAGCGGAGGAAGCCACTTATAGCAGGAAGCCTCGGCTTCCTACTTTCAGAGAAGTCAGCATGAGGCATTGTCAGTGTGGACATTCTGTCTTGAAGGTGTTCCAAAGTAGATCAAGGTTCTGGACACTGGCCATGTCCAGGTGCTGAGGACCTAGTGGGAAGTGGCCCTGTCAATGTGTCAGCTAAACCAGAACGATGGTTAACAACCCAAAGAACCAAGTCAAAACACACAGACCAAATCAAATAAAGACAGAAAAGATGGAGAAGCCAGGTGTTAGGAGCCCATCTTGAATACTCACAGAGAAAACCCCTCACATTCCCTAGTCTGTATCAATGCAATAAATGTAGGCATTGAAACGTGCACCGAAATTTTTTTTTGGCTGCATCGGGTCTTAGTTGGGGTGTGCGGTCTCAGTTCCAGTGGGTGGGCTTAGTTGCCCTGAGGCATGTGGGATTTTAGTTCCCTGACCAGCAATCAAACTCATGTCCCCTGCATTAGAAGGCAGATTCTTAATTATTGCTTTGGAAGGCAGATTCTCAACCATTGAACCACCAGGGAAATCCTGTATGGTTTTTAAAAATAAAAAAAAATAATATAACATTGAACAATGTGCAATATATGATTTAACGAAATTTGAAAATAAGATTGTTGTCATTTAGTCTCTAAGCTATGTCCAACTCTTTTGTGACCCCACAGACTGTAGCCTGCCAAGCTCCTCTGTCCATGGGATTTCCCAGGCAAGACTGTTGGAATGGGTTGCCATTCCTTCTCCAGGAGATCTTCCCGATACAGGAATCGAACCCATATCTTCTGCACTGGCAAGTGGATTCTTTACCACTGAACCACCAAGGAAGTTCAGAAAATAAGATAGAAAATAACAGAATATGAGAACAGTGGCAGGTGCAATTTACTTTGTGGGGCTGAGGCAGGTACAGACAGAGATCAACTGGGTGGAGGAGGATGGTGGGGTGGTGGGATGAAGGAAGAAGGGGACGAGGAAGCCAGAGTACTTGATGAACATTTTCAGATGGCATCACCTCCCACTTTGTCCCTAAAAGATGGTGCTCTGGACATTGCTGGCTTCAGTCTGGACATCTTCTCCTTCTGGTCCAGTGTTCACAAAGGGACTGGCTCCTCCACATAGAAGATTTCCTTGTGGCAAGTCTGCTAGTCATTATTCCCCAGGTCAGCTGCATGAGAGGGGAGCCCCTGGACTTAGCTCCACAGCCCACCTGGCAAAACCCAGTATAGAGTATTTTCCTGATCCCTTAGATATTGGATCATTCGAAATTTCCTCTATCTTGTTGTAACCACCAGCATTTGTAGAATGGATTTGGTTGGGCCCCAAACACACTTTCAGAGAAGGCAACAGCACCCCACTCCAGTACTCTTGTCTGGAAAATCCCATGGATGGAGGAGCCTGGTAGGCTGCAGTCCATGGGGTCGCTAAGAGTCGGACACGACTGAGCGACTTCCCTTTCACTTTTCACTTTCATGCATTGGAGAAAGAAATGGCAACCCACTCCAGTGTTCTTGCCTGGATAATCTCAGGGATGGGGGAGCCTGGTAGGCTGCCGTCTATGGGGTCGCACAGAGTCGGACATGACTGAAGCGGCTAGCAGCATCAGCAGTAGCAGCAAACACACTTTGGGGCTGGTCTTGCTCCTTGCCTGCTTACCTGATAATGCTGGGGTCGTCTGTAGGCAGGATGCTTTCCAGGGCACAGT